ATATCCTGGCAAATACTTATTATGATTTGACTTTTAAAATTTATTTATTTGGAGACAGGGTCTCACCTGTTGTCTAGGCTGGAGTGCAGTGGTACAATCATAGCTCACTGTAACCCTGACTTCCTGGGCTCAAGTGATCCTTTTGTCTCAGCCTCCAGAGAAGCTAGGACTGCAGGTACATGGCACCATACCTGGTTAATTAAAAACAATTTTTTTTTTAGAGAAAGGACCTACTGTGTTACCCAGGCTGGTCTCAAACTCCTGGTCTCAAGTTATCCTCCTGCCTTGGCCTTCCAAAATGCTAATATTACAGATGTGAGCCACTATGGCTGACCCTTACAAGTTCACCTTTTAATTATAGCCATCCTCATGGTGTGATGTGGTATCTTATTGTGGTTTAGACCCATGTTTCTCTTGTGAGTAATGATGTTGAGTATATTTTCATGTGCTTATTGATCATTTGTATATCTTCTTTGGGAAAATTTCTATTCGGATCCTTTGGCCATTTTAAAATATGATTTTTTTCATTTTCTTATTCAGTTGTAGGAGGTGTTTATATATTTTAGATGAAAATCCCTTATCAGGTATATGATTTGTAAATACTTTCTCCCATTCTGTGGGTTGTCTTTTCAGTTGCCCTAGGGTGCCATTTGGTATTCAGAACTTTAAAATTTTGAAGAAGTCCAATGTATCTATTTTCCTTTTCATTGCTCATACTTTTGGTGTCATCTCTAAGAATGTATTGCCAAAGCCGAGGTCATAATGATTTATCCCTATGTTTTCTATTAAGAGTTTATAGATTTAGCTCTTAATGTTTAGATCTCAGATCTGTTTTGTATTAATTTTTGTATACGGTGTAAGGTAGATGTGCAACTATATTCTTTTGCAAGGGATATCCAGTTGTCCCAACACCACTGGTTGAAGAGATTGCTCTTTCCCCCCACTGAACCATCTTGGCACCCTTGTTGAAATCAATTGCCCATAGATTTATAGGTTTCTTTATGGCCTCCTTATTCCATTCTATTGATATGTTTGGTCTTCTCTTGTCATATGTCATTAGCTATTTGATTTGTATATATCTTGAATACTACAGGGACTCTATTATTATTATTATTACAATCTTTTGTGACTAAGTGAATGTTCATGGTAAAAAATTAAGACACAAAAGTGCCAAAAGTGAAAATCCTGCGCCAGCCGCTCCTGCCACCACTTGTGGGACCTCGTCCTCTGAGTACTCTGCTAAGCAGCTTTGTAGATTTCTCCTCAGAGCAGACCTGCACATGTGTCTTATGTGCATGCATGTGAGATCCAAATGCAATTCACACTTGTGTATATGTGGATATGCACATATTCAAATTCAGCAATATTTATATTTGTATGTCTGCATTTTATTTTTATAAAATTGAGATGTACAAAAAACTTCTATGACTTTTTAAACAATCAGCTGTATATCTCATGTGTCTTCCATGACAGTGTATATGTATTTTACCTTGTTCTTAAGGATTCCATAAAATTCCATAGGATGTATATGCCAAGATCTCCTCAATTAGTTCCCTATCTTTGGATGTTTATGTGGTTTCCTTTTCTTTTTTCCCTTTTTCCTCTGGTGTTGCAGTGAACATCCTTCCACATGCCTTTGTGTACATGGGGGAGTACTTTTCTCAGTGAGATATCTGGAAGTGGAGTTGCTGATCGTGCCTTTTAAAGTAATTTTTAATGTCTTTCCCTCAGCTGTGCTTTATGATGCCTTGCACATACTAGGCACTTAATAAATATTTACTAAAGTGAACTCTTAAGGGTTTTTATCCTGGATTGATCCCCAGCTTGCTGTTTTATCTCAGTAAACTGTTTTATGACACCCTTAGGCCTATTTCACTTCCTCTAAAATGAATGAGAGTTTTGGTTCTCTAGTCTTCATTAGGGGAACTGAGGTGAAATGAGTCAAGCCGTATTTTGATTATCTACTTGTATGTGTGGCACTGGGGGTGTACAGAGATGAGTGAGTTGCAGCCTTAGGCCTCAAGGTATTTAAAAACCATCAGGGTAGGCAGGCGGAAGGTGTAGTGCTTCTCCGAGAAGCACACGTGTTGTTGGGGATGCACAGAAGAAGGGAAGAAGTATTACTGGCACACCTCGGAGGTGGTGCAGGCATGGCTCCAGATACCACAGTACAGCCGATGTCAAAATAAAGCAAATCATGAACCTTTTGGTTTTCTAGTGTATATAAGAGTTGCATTTATCCTATACTATCGTCTCAAGTGTACACTAGCATTATGTCTAAAAAGTATATATACCTTAATTAAAAATGCTTTATTGCCAAAATATGCTAATGATCATCTGAGCCTTTAGTGAGTCGTGAACTTTTTGGTGGTCGAGGGGGGTCTTGCCTCCGTGTTGATGGCTGCTGATGAATCAGGATGGTGGTTGCTGATGGTTGGGTTGGCAGTGGCGGTTTTATAAAATAGGACAATGAAGTTTGCCACATCGTTCAACTTTTCCTTTCACAAAAGATTTCTCTGTAGCATATGATGCTATTTGATAGTATTTAACCCACTGTAGAACTTCTTTCAGAATCAGTCAGTTTTCTAAAAGCCTGCTGCTGCTTTATCAACTAAGTTTATGATTCTATTTTAAATCCTTTGTTGTCATTTCTGCAGTGTTCACAGCATCTTCACCAGTAGATACCATCTCAAGAAACCACTTTCTTTCCTCATCCATAAGAAGCAACTCCTCATCTGTTCAAATTTGATCATGAGACTATAGCAATTCAGTCACATCCTCAGGCTCCACTTCTAATTCTAGTTTTCTTGCTATTTCTACAACATCTGCAGTGACTTCTCCATTGAAATATTGAACCCTTCACAGTCATCCATGAGGATTGGAATCTACTTTTAAGCTCCTATTAATATTGATTTTTTTGATCTCCTCCCATGAATCATGAATGTTCTTAATGGCATCAGAATGGTTAGTCCTTTCCTGAGAGTTCTCAATTTACTTTTCCCTGGTCCATCAGAGGAGTTACTATTTATGGCAGCTCTAAGCTTATGAAATGAATTTCTTAAATAATAAGACTTCAAAGTCAAAATTAGTCCTTGATCCATGAGCTACAGAATGAATGCAGTGTTAGGAGACATGAAAACAACATTCATCTTGTACATGTCCATCAGAGCTTTTGGGTAACCAGATTCATTGTCAATGAGCAGTAATATTTTGACTGGATTCTTTTTTCCTGAGCAGGTCTCAACAGTGGGCTTACAGTATTCGGTAAAACATGTTGTAAACAGATGTTCTGTCATCTAGGCTGTGTTGTTCCATTTCTACAGCACTGTCAGAGTAGATTGAATATCAGTCTTAAAGGCCCTAGAGTTTTCATAATGATAAATGAGTGTTGGCTTCCATTTAAAGTCACCAGCTGCACTGGCCCCTAAAAAGAGAGTCAGCCTGTCCTTTGAAGGTTCGAAGCCAGGCATCTATTTCTTCTCTTTATGAAAGTCCTGGATGGCATCTTCTCCCAGTAGAAGATTGTTTTGTCTACACTGAAAATCTGCTGTTTAGTTTTGCCACCTTCATCAATGATCTTACCTAGATCTTCTGGATAACTTGCTACAGGTTCTCCAACAGCACTTGTTGCTTTACCTTACACTTTTATGTTATGTTATGCCCATAACATAAAAGTATTCTTTACTTAAGTCATTACTTAAGTCTTATGAACCAAACTCTGCTCACTTCACTGTTTTCTTCTGCAGCTTCCTCAGCCCTCTCAGCCTTCACTGAATTGAAAAGAGAAATAGAGCCTTGGGTTTGCTTAGGCTTTTGCTTAAGAGAGTACTGTGGCTGGTTTGATCTTCTATCCAGACCACTAAAAGTTTCTCCATATCAGCAATGAGTCCGTTTCACTTTCTTACCATTCGTGTGTTCACAGGAGTAGCACATTTAACTTCTTTCAACAATTTTTCCTTTGCATTCACAACTTGGCTGTTAGGTGCAAAAAGCCTAGCTCTTGGCCTCTCTTGGCTTTCAACATGCCTTCCTCACTAAGCTTAATCATTTGTAGCTTTTGATTTAAAGTGAGAGACATGTGGCTCTTCCTTTCATTTGAACACTTAGAGGCCATTGCAGGGTTATTAATTAGCCTAATTTCATTGTGTCTCAGGGGACAGGGAGGCCTAGGAGAGGGAGAGAGATGGTGGGGAATGGCTGGGCACTGGAGCAGTCAGAACACAATAGCATTTATCCGTTAAGTTCTCCATCTTACAGGGACAATGTTCCCAGTGTCCCAAAACAGTTACAAGAGTAACATGAAATGTCACTGATCACAGATCACCATAACAGGTATAATAATAATGAAAAAGCTTGAAGTATCATGAGAATTATCAAAACGTGACACAGAGACCCAAAGTACATGCTATTGGAAAGACAGCGCTAATAGACTACCTGATGCAGGCTTGCCACAAACCTTCATCTTGTAAAAACTGTGTTATCTGCAAAGTGGAATAAAGTGAAATGTGATGGAAAGAGTTACGCCTTTGCTTCGCTTGGATGCTGTTGGGGAGCAGCCTTCCCTGGAGAAGGGGATGTTGAGGTACTCCCAAAAGAAGGATATGATTAGGACAGGTGGAGATGTCCAGGGTGTAGGGGAAAGGTGGCAGGCTGCGAGTGGTTCAGAGGGAAGAGCGTGCCTGAATTCAGAGGAGGTGAGAAAAGTGAGAAATCAGGTTCCTCTGAGGACCAGGAGTGTGGAGGGGAGTGGTGGGGGTGAAGCCACAAAGCCAGCAGGGGACATAACGGTGGTAGACTTGGGATTCCAGATGGGCTCGGTATGGACCTTGTAGGCCCTGGGCCACTACGAGAGGAGTTTTAGTAGAATTGCCTTGTTGGAGCTGGTCTTGAGGAAACAGTGCACACATTTGGTAAATCTGAGGCCTGAATAAAAAGGAGACTTTACTTCCAGGCACTTCCGTGGCATAACTTTTTCTTGTCCCTCCTTTCTGCATCCCTAGCTGTCTGAAAACGTGGTGAACCGCATGAAGGAGCCCAGCTCTCCACCCCCTGCTCCTGCATCTTCTACGTTTGGCCTTCCAGATGGCAACTTGAGAGCCCCTCACAAAGGTATGGGGGTTGTGACAGTTCTGTGGAGGGTGGAGAGATGGCGAAAGGATTGATGGGTGCTCCTCTGAGCCCACTTGATGGCGCAGGGCTCAAGTTGGCTTCTGGATGACGTAAGCAGCTCCGTCTGGTACAGGCTTTCCAGAAGAGCGTGGCCTTCTGGGAGTGATGGATGCTGTTACCAGAGCTGCTGGGATTCGGACCGAACCGCTTTCCCTCTGTATGACTTTCCCCTTGTGGGAACTGAGGCAGAAGAATCTGGGTTGACAGCTCAGGAAAGAAGTTGCCTTTAAGGCCTCTCAGAAGCAGCACAGCCATGACTTAGTTTCAGCCACTCTAGCCCAAAGCCCAAGTCAAAGAATGATGTGGATTCATGCAAACGGGGCCAAATAAGGGAGAATTCCGTCAGTGACTTAGGTGCCTGCCTGCAGCAGCCCTCACCTGAGAGCTCCTGTCCTGGTCCCTGGAATGGTACCCCCTGGACTTCTAGGAGGGGGTCCTAAGAGTTCTTCTTTCTGGCCCACTGTGAAGCTGGTGCCCAAGCCAGGCTCAAAGCTGATTTGTTCCCTACTTTATTGTGCCTGTTGCAAATGAAGAAATGTGTATTTCTTCAAATTTCCCCAAATAATGACTTGTAGCAAACACAAGGAAAGTGTTTTAAGAAAAAAAGCTGTAAGGCATACAAATGTGAAAATATTACAAAATAAAAAATTCCTTGGAGCAACTGCTCAAAGCATACTAGTTTTTGAGAACTTGGGTCTGTCTTTCAGACTCAGTAACTCGATTAAAAAAATATATATTGGCTGGAGGTGCCATGCCACCGCAGAGGTTCACATGGAGAACCTCTACCACCCACTAGATTGTTTGTCTCGGGCCTGGCTCCGTGTTACAGTTGCCTTTTCTGCTTGTCTTCCCTGTTGGGTTGAAAGAGTTTAGAAGATGAGAGCTGTATCCTGCAGACTTAGTGTTTACTGAAGGCCACCTGGGACCAGGTCCTGTGCCGTGTGCCAGGACACAGTGATAGGTGGGCAGGGACCCTCTCTCATGGCACACCCAGCTCTGGTTATGGAGCCAGATGTCAGCCCTGATGGGTTATGTGTCATGTTGTGATGCAACGATAGAATCCATCCTGGGCTCAGGGTAGAGGAGGGACTGTGAGAGGCAGGAGGAATGGTGGTGGGTGGGCACTGGGGGTGGGCGGACAGCAGGAGCAGAGGTCAGCACGTGGAGTGCAGCCCGGCATGCTCGGGGATCTAGAAGTATTGCTGTCTCTGGAATACAAGGTACAAGGGAGGGGAAGATGTTGGGGAGGCCCTCGGGAGCCAGGCCATGGAGACCTCCCATGGTGGCCAGAGCGCTCTGGCTTCATCCTCAAGGGGATGCCTGCCAGATGTCCTGACACCTCCACCCCCATGCTGTCTGCCCCGGAGCCAGTCAGTCCCTGGATTCAGATCTACCCCAGGGTCTTTCTGTCTATCAGTAAAGGGGCTGTGTAAGATTCCGGAAAATCCCCCAAGAAGCCCTTGTCCTTTTCTAATAGGGCTCACTTACTCCCCATGCTGGCTCTAGCTGACTGATGAGAAGAGCTTAAGAGGGGTCTAACTTGACCCAATGCATTTTAACAAACTGGATTAACTTGAAAGAGGGAGAAAGTGATGATAAAAGTGAAAATTGCCTTAATATATAATACTACACATCAGTTTCAGCTTTGAAGAAATAAGCATTTGCTTCAGTTTGGAAAGTTTCAGTAGTTTAGAAAGCAAGAATAGTAGTTCTTTTGTCACTTGGAGTTAGTTACAACAAAATACTTTGCTGTTTAAATGATAGGTGCAAGTTTGGTTTCTGAATATTAAAGAAGAGTCAGCATCAATGGACTGTCTTGAAGTTAACAAATTTTAAGATATTTTGTACTTTTAAAACCAGTGTTTGCTTTATATTACTGATGGACCAAAGTTAGAAAGAGAGGTTAAAATTAAATCCCTCTTATGCCATACCCCCCTAAAATGTCAGAGGAAGTAAAAGTTGGAAATGTATGACTAGAAGCCGTAAAAGTACAATAGAGGGTAGATTTTCTACACACCATACTAAATGAAGAAACCTTAAGAAAAGTAGGAAATGTGAATATAAGGAATTAGAGACAATTTAGGAAAGAAGTGACAGGAATGGATAAGTTAGGGAAAATATAACATTGGACATAGTCCTGGTAATCTTAATATGTGGTGAGTTCTTAAAAATCTTTAAGAAAGACAGCTCAGTAGGAAATGTGCACAGACAGCCATATTCATGGCAGGATCTCCACGTCGCTAATACTGGAAGAAACGCATATTCTACAATGTGCACTCCAAGGGAGTGGGGGCTGGGCAGGGGCACACAGAAGGGGGAGCGGGGATGAGTGCCACCTGCTCTACATTGGCAGGCCTGTTATTTTTGTAGTTAAAAAATGAAAAATGATATAAAAAACAAGAATACCAGACATTAAACCTCAGTAAAGCTCTTTAGGCAAATAAGCATGGGGAGCACTGGTGTGGAGATGAAACCCCACAGCAGCCTCCCGTGTTCACCGCAATTGAGAACCTGGCGTGTTGCTGAGCAGCGTGGGAGTGCCCTCCTCTTGTGACGGGGTTTGAAAGGGCGAGTTTCAGCCAACCACTTTCGGAAGTGTTCCCTGAAGGGTCCCTGACGGCTCTGGGGTGGAGTCGTATACCCTCATTGGGCGCCTCCCACAGCCTGGTTCTTGTGTTATGTTCTGTGCGCTTCTGGCTGCCGCTGCATAGAACCCTGTGGTGGAGTGAGGTGTGGAACATCAGAGAAGACCAAGAAAGTTGGTGAGCTTTGGCTGACAGAGGGCTTTGGAAGGGTGAAGGCTGGGAACAGGAGTCGGAACAAAACCTTCAGTGTCAGCAAGTGGTGAGGAGAGTGAATTGGATTTGCTCAGAAATCCCCAAATTTGTGATAATCAAAAGGGATCTACTGTAACAACAGAAAGAGCCCAGTAATACTAGAGGCAATAGGGGTTAACTAGAATTAGGTTTAATATGGGGCATTTGCCACACTCAGGATTGTGCAGACTCAGGTTGTTACTAAAGGAAACAAGATTTAAAGAGTTCCCACCCCTTCCCTTCCCTATGTCAAAACCACTTCCCGGGAGGCTGTCCTCATGAAGCAAAGCAGTGATTCCTTCAACCACTCCTGGCATGTGCTTAGGAGTTGACCTGGATTCCAAATAATTGTCAATAGAGTAGAGATGGGTTTGGAACACGGCACCCAAGGGGTTCTGTCTGCAGGCTGCCCAGTGTTGTGGGCATCACTGGTGTAGAGAGACCCCTTCAGGATAAGAGGTGGCTTGGATCATCTGGCTTTCCAAACAGCTTGAATCAAGGGTGTGTTTCTTGTCTGCCCTTGCGGACGCTCCTTTGTGGGAACGCATCTGTGGCGCTGCCTTCAAGGGGCACGTTCACTCATGGGGGTCGTTCCTTTCTGGGTGATATCCGTGTCTTTGTGGACCCTGGGGTGTCACTGACAGGCCTTTTCTTCTCTTTCTTTTGCAGAATCCACAATGCCGAGGTCAGGGAGCAGTGGTGGCCAGCAGCCCTCAGGGGCAAAGGAGGGTGTCAAGAGGTGAGCCCAAGAGCCCACTCGCTCCTGGCACTGTGCTCTGCCTAAAAGCCTCTTTCCTCACCGGGTACCCCTCTCCTTGCCTGAAGGGTTTGTCTCACATAATTAATCTCAGTTGCACTGAAGGACAACCCTATGGTATAGGTGTCACTAGTCCTAGTTTAAAGATGAAGAAACACCAAAAGGGTATAGGGGAGTTGATTGCTAATGTTCCTCATGCCCAGTAGTTTGAGAGGCCAAGGCAGGAAGATTGTTTAAGGTCAGGAGTTTGAGACCAGCCTGGACAACATAGCAAGATCCTGTCTCTAAAAGATAAAAAATTATCTGGGTGTGGTGGTGTGTGCCTGTCTAGTCCCAGTTACTCGGGAGGCTGAGGTGGAAGGATCACTTGAGCCCAGGAAGTTGAGGCTTCAGGGATCTATGATTGCGCCACTGAACTCCAGCCTGGGTGACCCTGTCTCTGAAAAAAAAAAAAAAAATCATTAAAAAAATCTAGGACTAAACGGTTGAGTGGCTGGACCTTCTGCATGTGTGTGTGCATGCAGGCGTGTTTTTAGAGAGATGAGGAAGTGGAGCCCTCCCAGTTCTAACTGTGGTTGTCCAGATGAACTGGTTCCAAGATGTTGGTGACTTTTTGTCAGGACAGGCCACAACTCAGAGCTGGCCATGCCTCTGAAATGGTACCTGCTTCCTGTCACCAGAGAAGTTTTAGCAAAGTGGTTAAGGCACAGAGGCCCCAGTGGAGCACAGGGTGGCATCTTGATCCTGCAACTTACTAGTTGGATGAACTTGAAAAATCACTGTATCTAAGACGGGCTAAGAGGAGTACTTCTTTAACTGGGATCTGTCACGGTTAAATATGTTAATGTATATCATGCACATGACCACAGTGCCTGGCCTACAGAGTTCTCATTGGATGCTCATAGTAGTTGTTACTGATTGACATCTTCAGTATTCCTGAGGAAATTGGCCTCAGTATGGTCAGAGGACCCAGTAGGCCAGCTTAGGGGGCCCAGTGTCAGCTACAGTTAGGCGTTTGACCTCTAGTAGTTCAGCCATGTTGGGTCTGTTGCATAGCCATGGGTGAAGACACACGTTGTAAGAATTTACACTCCCTAGGAAGTCTCAGCAAAAATAACTGACCTGGCTGGGTATGGTAGCTCAATCCTATAATCCCAGTGAATTTAGGAGGCTAAGTAGGAGGATTTCTTGAAGTCAGGAGTTTGAGCGCAGCCTGGGCAACACAGTGAGACCCTGTCTCGACAAAAAAAAAAAAAAATTAAAAACCTCTGGATGCTCAAGAGGCTGAGGTAGGAGTATTGCTTGAGCCTGGGAGTTGGAGTTTACAATGAGTTGTGATTGCACCACTGTACTCCAGCCTAGGCCACATTATGAGACCCAAAACCAAAAAAAAAGAAAAGCCAACCACGATCTGAACCCTGCTTTTTTGGTACTTTTAAACATTTTAAACATGATAAAGTAATACATTCTAATGAAAGATTTAGAAAATATATAAAGTGAAAAAAATCATCCATAGACTCAGCATCTCAACACAACTATTGTTAATATTTTGGAGTATTTCAAGTTCTTTTCCACCCCGCCCCCCACCAGTCCCCTATTTAGGGTTATTTTTGAAAGTCATAGATAATTTCATATCTTGCTATTTTCACTTAGTATTATAATTTTTCATTAGTTTCACCTGCTTTATAAATTGTTTTATTACTAAAAGCATCGTTTATTGGTTCTCAGTTTTTAGATTCAATCTATAGACAAACCAAAGACTATATTTTCTAGTGTTGATGTCATAGCTCATTATATGATCACACCATATTTTCTGTAGCTTGACCTTGATTTGGGGACATTTAGGTTGGTTGCATTTTTTTCACTATAAAAAATAATACTGTCAGAGCCTTTCAGTGCTAATAACTTTTTCCCTCTCTATAGGATTATTTTACTGGGCAGAATGCCCAGAAATATGTTAAAGGGTAGGAACAAGAGTTAAATGTTCCAAACAGAGGACTACTACTATTTCAAATCTTCAAGCTCTCAAGTGGAGGCAGTCCTTGGATTGAGCCCCTCCCTGAGACCCCCACTGGGCACGGGGATGCCTAAGTTGGCCATGTCTCCTCCTGTTCCTGAGCTGTGTTGTCCTGGCTCAGTGTCATTGTCATTGTCTCCCCTTGCCTGGGGAGCTGTCATTGATGCCTGAGCTCAGGCAGGGAATGATGGGGTGTGCGGTTTCAGAGCACTCTCTCCTTTCCTGTCTGGCCATTGACTGGTCTCAGCGCTTCCCTGGCGGCTGAAGTGAGTGCAAAGACTTTGTCTTGACTATGGGCTGCCTGTCACTCCATCTGCATCTATTTATCCTCATCTTTCTTCTGCACAGGTATGAACAAGAGCATGCTGCTGTCCATGATAAGCTCTTCCAGGTGGCAAAGAAGGAAAGAGAGGCTGCCACGAAGCACTCCAAGGCATCCCTGCCCATGGGCGAAAGCAGCATCAGTCATGAGGAGCAGAAGTCAGTCCGGCTGGTGAGTGCATATTTTCCTCGAACTGGCCTTCCAAGCTGGGCAGCACCCTGGGAAAGAGGGGGCAGGCCTTGGCAACTGGTTTGTCTGATGCCCTGCTGGCTCAGGCTGCCCCTAGGATGTGCTCTCTGTACCTCTGTGGAAAAGGGTCTTTTGGGAGCCAGGAACTTGGGTTCTTCTAGCCCTGGCTCTGTCAGTTATTTGCTTTGGTTCCAGTGTCATGTTTTTGCAATCTCTGTGGCCTAAGGTCTACACAGTAAGGGACTAGAACACTTGACAGCCTCATTCAGCTCTGAAACTTCACAGGTGTCAGGGCTGCAGTGGTATGTGTGTCAGGAGGGTGTGAGGGGAGAGGACTGGAGGCCTGGAGCTGTGTAATATATGAGAGGGAGGGTATAATCTTTAGAGTTAGGCAGGCTGGGCGCAAATCCTGGACACACTGTCTGTGAACCTTGCTCGAAGATCATGATGTTCACCCACAGGAGTGCCCAGGGAATCAGAGGAGATAGTTTTTGTCCAGGACTTAGCACATGCCAGCAGATCATGGAAGTGCACTATTGTTATTGTTACTGTCGTAAATACATTTAAGTGATGGGCGGCTATTAGGATCTTTTTGCTTAAGTGCAGCATTTATTTTGCAACATGAGATGTCTAGAAGTGCCCCCAGGGTTGACTAATTCAGTGGTTCACTGGCATCATCAGGGACCCGGTGCTTCTCTTCCTGCCACTCTGCCATCCACAGTATGCGAGTGCATCCTAGGCAGGCTGTCCCCATGGTTAACAAAGGCTGTTACTGCCCCACAAGTCACATGCAGACAGTAAAACCCTCAGTAGAAGAAGAGAGGCTCTGCTGGCCCTTGTGTCTCTATCACAAAGCAGCTCATGGCAGAATTCCTCTTATATCACATTGGCTTGAATTGTAATGAGTGCCCATGGCTAAGCCAGTCCTCAGCAGAGGGGATACAGAGGACTCCACTGACTGCAGCTAGGGATCTTTTCTAGTCCCTTTAGAGAGGGTACACATCCAGCTGTAATTAGGACTGACAGCAAGGAAGTGGGGGAGGGAAGCATGACTGTGGGCCACATCTAATAACATCTGCTGGAGGCCATGAGGTTTGAGAACAGGAACAGCCTTGCCCTACTTTAGGTGGGTAGCCTGGTACACACGATGCTGTGTAGAAGGGGGTTGAACACGATGTGAGAGCATACATTTTATGTATGTGCGTAAAACACACTACACACACACAAACACACCACACAAGCACATACTCTGTATTCCTGTTAAGTTAGGCACTGGATTAGTTACCTAAAAAATGGAAATGAATAAGATACAGCTTCTGACCTTGAGAAGATGTGTTTATTAGGAGAGTTAAACATTCTCAGAAGTGACCACACAGTGTTGCAAGGGTCATCCCAGAGGGACAGGAAGATACTCGAGGAGCAAGGAGGTGGAACCACCTGACACTTCCTGCTAGGGTGGGAAGGAATTCTAAGAGGAGGTCACCGGTGAGCTGAATCTTGGAGAATGAATAGAATTTGCCAGGTGGAGAGGAGGGAGGAGGGATGCTGCAGATAGGGGGCACTCTTGAGCAAAGACCATGTGCTGGGAGAAGATGAAGTCTTTGGATTATAGGAAATAGCAAGCTGTGGCGAAAGGGAGACTAGAGGGCTCAACGTAGGCGCAGTTGTGGAATGGCATCCTGGAAGTCTGATGGGGAGCTCTGTGGAGCAGTTTTCTGAATCTCAAAGAGATAAATAGGAGACAGCTAGACATTGATCACTATGAAAATACTTCAGTTGCAAATCAAGAAGTTAAGGCCAAATCTTCACACTGAAGATTTGGTAATAAAAGTACTTACATCCCTGAATGTGCCCCTCTAACATAAGGATTCCACCAGTAGAGTAGCTGTCCTGTCCTGCTCTCCCAGTGGCAGAGGACTTTTGATCTCTTACTGCTTCATTCTCTTCAATGCTCAGATGCTCCAGGCAGCTGCCACCCTAGCTATGTGAACTGGATACAGTTGGCTCTTCCTGTCCACGGGTTTCTGTATCTGCAGATTCAACTAATTGTGGATCGAAGTCCATGGATACAGAGGGCTTACTGTACTATGTCATTTTATGTAAGAGGCTGGAGCATCCACAGATTCTGGCATCTGTGGAGGGTCCTGGAACCAATACCCTGTGGATACAGAGGGCCGACTGTATCATGATTTTAAGATGTTCAAAGTTTTTGAGTTGCAATTTTCTAAAATTATGAGGGAGATGGAGGATTGGTTCTGGTTTTACTACAGCTGTAGCCTTTCTTCCTAACATTCCTCTCCTACATTTTTATCATCTTGTTCCTCAGATTATAAAGTCCTTGAGAATAAGAACTGTGATGTGATCATTTTGGTCTTTGTAGTGCTGAGCAAATTATAGGCAGGCAGTGAATGGTGATTAAATGGCAGATCTTGAGTGGGTGAGGGTGTGGAGGTGCTACTGCTTGGAAGCCCACCGTGCAGTTGTCCGTTACCTTTCCTTTGCGGTCCCATCGTGGTGCCCCAATGCAAATAGTTGGAAGCAAGCACCCATCACAGCCTTCTGTAGAATGGGTGACAGTTCAAAGGTCTGACCCTTTTCAATCAGTAAAACAAAACAGAGTTTCAAAAGGCTTTCATTATAATGATATCTGGGAGTGAATTAAAAAGATGTTTGTCTTCTAGTCAGAGTCCTACAGACTTTAGATTAATCTTGCTTAGAACAAGGAAGAGAGTGGGCTTTGGGAACTCTGGTCTGAGGTTATGAAGTATACTATCTGACATTCAGCCAAGGCAGTCTTGATATCTGTGTCAAGCTGTTTGTCATGGCTGTTTTAGAAGTTTAGTGACCTGGGTACTCTGGTGACCCTGTCTCTTATACCTCCTCCAGTATGAGCTTTACATGGAGATCTGAAAATCCCATGGAGATCTGCATTGCCTGTGCTCAGATGACTGGCAAAAGGCATAAACTGGGATATTTTACTTTTTCTTTTTTTGTCTACTGAGCTTAGTCTCTTGATTAGATCAGAGGTTGACACACATTTTCTGTAAAGAGCCAGATAGTAAATACTCTTTGCAGTCACATGTGGTCTTTGTTGTTGTTGTTGTTGTTACAACCCTAAAAACATGTAAAAACCATTCTTAGCTCAGAGGCCATACAAAAAGTGGCTGTGTACTGGATTTAACTGGTGGGCATAAACCCCCTGCTGAACTAGACTATGCAGCTCCAGAGGTTTTAACTTTTAAAGTCTTTCTGAGTACCCAAGTGTCTTGAGAAACTAGGGGGTGGAAGCCCTGGTGTTGGTCCAAGTTGCTTAGTGGCTATTATTTCTTGTGAGAGGTTTCTTGTTTTGGTATTTGACAGCCCCCATCTCCTGATGTGTAAAATGAGGATTTTTCTGGAGACAGCCCAGTGGGCTGTATGGGAAAAGTCATTAACTTCTACTTTAATTCCTGATTCTGTTTTCATTTGGCATTTTTTGTAGTTTCCGTTTCTCTGCTGAAATACCCCATCTTTTTACACATGTTGCCCACCTGTAGGTCCTCTAAACATAGTCTCAATTTGACAGTTTCAACACTGTGATCATCTCTGGGTTTGGTTCTGTTGACTGTTTTTTCTCTTGATACTGGGTCACATTTGCTTATAGCTTTATGTGCTTTGTAGATTTTTTTTTTTTTTTTTGAGACGGAGTTTCACTCTTGTTACCCAGGCTGGAGTGCAATGGCGCGATCTCGGCTCACCACAACCTCCGCCTCCTGGGTTCAGGCAATTCTTCTGCCTCAACCTTCTGAGTAGCTGGGATTACAGGCATGTGCCACCATGCCCAGCTAATGTTTTGTATTTTTAGTAGAGATGGGGTTTCACCATGTTGACCAGGATGGTCTCGATCTCTTGACCTCGTGATCCACCCGTCTTGGCCTCCCAAAGTGCTGGGATTACAGACTTGAGCCACCACACCCGGCCTGCTTTGCAGTTTTTGATTGGTGCTGGCCGTCATATGCAGGAGACCAGTAGAGACTGAGGAAAAAAGTCTTTTACGCCCAGAAATGTCCGCTCTCCTTCTTTTGACAGGCTATTAGTGTGGGAGGTTGAGTAGCATAGGTGAGTAGAGTAGGGGCTTTGTTGTTGCCTCAGCTTCAAACTATTAATATGTGAAGGTGGGATCAAACCCATTCTGTTTGTTAGGCCTTAGGATCTGTGTACCTGAGGCAAAGGGTTCATCTAAGATCTCTTGGCCATCCACCAGACTATTTTATAGGCCCTGGTTGTCTGTGATTGAGGGTCCTTCCTTGTCCCTCCTGCAGCTGCAGATGACTGCTGCTTGGTGGTCAGTGGAAGGCCTGGAGTGCCTATGGGCTTTCTCTCAGTTCTGCTGCTCTTCTCACAGACTTCAGCAGGCCCTGTGCCCTGGTGCCTTGGGCGAATGTGTGGAAGGAAGAAAGTGTCTCATTCAGCTCTTCTGCTTTATTTTTAAGAAAATAATTAAGAAAACTCTCATAACTGATACCAGACTTAGTGTACTCTTCTGTTTGTTGTCATCACCTTTAAAGCACCCTTTACACCCCAAAGAAAATGAAAAGGACAAAGTGATTGATCTGGTCTTACTCTTCTGAATGTCCAGGCCCGCATGGCTGCTGATATACAGAGCTACTCCTTCCACAGGATATGCAGGGGTCTGCACACTCGGTGGAAAGGGCTGTACCACACAGCTGCCCATCTGCATGCCCTGTTCACATCATATTTGCTCAGAGAACAAGGGTGGCAGGTTATGGTTTAGAGAATTGGAATAATTAGTTGGAAGGGACAGTGTGGGGCCTCCTGGATTCCCACTTAACCTGGCCTTGGTGATTATATGATGTGACAAATTTTGGAGAAAGAAAAACTGTAGATAGGCTTACACAAAAACTAGCTTAATCTTATTAGCTGATTACACACCACAAATGAACTTTGATTTAATTCCTATGTATTTTTTCTAAACTGAGGGT